ACATGATTAGACTGCAAGTGATCTCTCATCATAGGCGGTGTGCTTGTCTGATGAGCGCAGAATTTGCAACGTAGCATATTCTAAAATCTTTTATTTGGAACTGCACCAGGAACTACGATCAAACATGAGGATGGTGCAATCGCACCTCATACATGGGCTCCAGCGCGCCCACTATCAAGCGGCGCTTGATACGCGTTGCATTAGCTACCTGTCTGATGTGCGGTGTGACAACGCACCATGTATTTTGAAATTCACTCAAAAATGCGCAAGTTTTCGGAAAAAACGTGCGGCAAAACTTTAAGAGGAAAATTCCTTTCTTGACAAAAAAAAGACAAAACAAAACAAAAACACTCTTGATTGACTAAACTAGAAAGCCACTCACGTTGACTAGCACAAAAGGTTTGATGTAATGCTGATTGATCCCTTGAGCAAGGGCAGACGCAGGAACTGGTACGGGATTGTCCCTTTTGTCGATTCCGGTTGGCGGCGTACTCTCGTTCAAAGTGAATGCAGTGCGTCTTACAGTTACCGGTGTTCGATGAACTGCTCTGGGAGTGCTCTGACTGGACGAAGAAGGCGTTCCATTCTCCTTTCGCTCTAATCCAATCACCTTGATACCTCTGCAATTTTGGGTGTTATAGCAACACTATATAAATAACAGAAGAAAATAACCTCTTGGCCAAGTTAAGTTGCATTTCAAAGTGTGATCTTGGCTGCAATATGCCATATCGTAACCAGAGAGCGTTGTCGGTGTCGCGAGCAACGGCTGTTCTAGTGTCAGGATATTTTGCAGCAATATCTTGCAAGCTTGCATCTGTAATACCATTTGGAGCAAGTAAGCAGATGCAGATCTTTCAATAAAAAATAAAGCCCAAGCATAACACTTACTACTTTCTGGCGTCATTCCTAGCTGATTTCCAGCCTTGTACTCCACATAGATGCCATGTTGTATGGCCATATGAGCGCGAAAACCGGATATTGAACATACAGATGTGGAACATGTAGGACA